AATTGAGAATAGAGTTAGTAAAAGCACAAGCAAGGAAAACGCAAGACAAGTAAAGAAGAAATACTCACCTACGGAAATGAAACCACCGACTAAATCTAAACGCCTCTTTCCGACTAAGCCAACCGTAGGTTACGCAAGATTTTGGATCGTGGAGCGACTGACTCGCCGTTTCGCCCGATTTCAATATTATATATAGCTATAAGAATATATATTATTTGTTTAAATAAAGATTAATAAAGTTTTTGAGATATTAATTTGGGGGCAAGTATAGGCATGCCAGTGACTACTGTTCCAGGTCCTCTACTTAGTCGACTATTAATATGTAATAGCATAAAACCTGACATCTTGGCATTAGCATTAAACATCTGTTTAAGGCCATTAAAAGCTAAATCGCCATTAATTTTAGATCAAAGTAATTCTAAAAACCATATGAGAAGTGATAAAAAAAATTTGTAGGTTGCGAAAGGTTCCCGTATGGATAGATTTTATTTTAAAATCGTCCTTTAAAATTTGTATTTGCTTCAATTGAGTGTTTGTTTCGTGTGAGAAGAACGGTAGAGCAATTCACCGATCAACTTCAGTGTGTTTCCGCATTACTATAAGTCCTCTTTTTTTTTTAATATTAAATTACTAACCCAAATCATGTCTTCAGATGAGAATATTGTCGATGCCGTACCAGTCTATGCTCGTGGTAGACAACCTGTTCGTCGACGTTGACGTCCTCCTAGAAATTATGCTTTAACAAGTGAACGTCGTGCTGAAGAACAGAAACAACAGGTGATTAAGCTTGGTGAAACCGCCAAGCATAAGCTACCTTCTCCGTTAAAGCTCAATATATTGAGGGAGGAAAGAAGATTTTATCTAAATAGTTTAATGGCTTTGATTCAGCCTTACGTGGTAACATCCAAATATAATTGGATTGTAGTATCAGTAACAGGCTTTGTGAACTTTATTAGGATAAAATTAACAGTCGAGTTCAAACAGAATTTATTTGAATATGTGGTGGGCAAAAAGCATTAGAATGATATGAATGAAGCCAAGTGTGAAGAATTCTGGAGGAGTAGATTTAACTATGGGTGTTAAACTCGAGCAAGACCGGTTATTCCAATTATTCGCACTCAACAACATCGAATTTTAAACACCCAAGAGGATGGAAGTTATTATTAACCAAATTGGAAGCACCGATCTTAAAGATGAAGAACGTATCCAAGTTACATATCAAAATCACGTATGCAAGCGTTTTTTAACGCGTGGAATTTTGAAATGTTAGGTGAGAAGATAAAGCCTTACATGAAAAAAGATCCAGCATATTATAATATCTTGAATGGTTGATAAGACATTAATCTCTGTCAGCTATATCCGGAAGGACATCGAACGTAAGTTCGATGAATTAAGAGTTAAAACTTATGAAGTTAAAGACTCAAGTGGAAAATAAAGTTAAACTGTCGATTCCCCTGTTTGACTTTGACAAAGCTGATGTTAATGCCATTAAAGAATATGCTGATAATAAACTGTTCGATTTCTTTCAATTTTCAAACACCCCAGTTGCTGGAATTGTAGCTTGTTTATTTACTCTATCAATAATTAATGTTGGATGGTTAAAAGACGGTTCTAAGAAAATTGAAGCTGTATTACCATCTCACACCGGTGTATGGATGAATTAAAAGACCGTCACTGATGTTCTTACTGCAGCAGGGTATTTGAACGTCTCGGACTATATTAAAGATGCAGAGTTGAATGAAGCGGCAATATACTGTATTGATCTTTAGTACAACACATCAAGCAGTTTTTTAAGCAATTCCTAAAGATGGAGTCTTTAAGTTTTGGTACAGATTCCCAATGATAGAAATTGACGAACATAACATCACATTAGATGAGAGTAATTTTAAACCTCATGAAAGAACAAGGTTTGGTAAGACCTTAAATTATATCAAAAGGAAAACGAAAGATTTCTGAAAGTGGTGCTATTTTTGACTTAATGGTAAAGTTTTCAAAATCTGTTAGCTATGTTCCAGAGTATGTAGTTCAATTTTCTGGAGAAAATATCTCTATTTTGAATGAATTTTTATCAGATGATTTTATAAGACAGTCATCAATTAGTTAGTTCTTGTAATATGCTATACTAGGAATAATCTTTTTTTTTTAAAAAAAAAAATTTAGCCATACGAGAGGGGTATATAGTAAATTAGCACGGTACGGAAACAGAAATTGGAACGGACATGAGGAAATCATGATAGTACATACGGTCTTTAAAGAAAAAATTTCTTATAAATAAAGCTGATTTTTCTATAACCTCACATGAAAAAAGAACAATGCTCTCACTTGCCCTAACCTTAAATTTCTTACACATTTACCCTAACCCTAAACATTAGAAAAGTGTTTACTTGTAAAGGATAGGTCTTCTCTTTCATTTGGCATGAGGATGTGACGAATCATCGGTGTGGCGTGTAAACATTAGCTAATAATTATATTAAATAATGCTTATTAGCCACACCCAATGATTCGTTAAATCCTTGTTCCAAATGGTTAATGGACTTATAAAAATTAATCTTATAAACCTATGTTAACCGTACGCACTATCAAAAGTTTGCTCAATTTTGTACGTCAGTACATATTTGTATAATCGTACAGTATTACTTTATTAACTACCTACGTATGTATGCGCGAGTATATACCTCACATCACATATCATACCAATTTTATTTATTTATGTATATAAGTCATTTAATGACTGTCGTATAACTTATCGTATGATGGGTAAATGTAGAGTCCTTTGAAGATTTATTTAAACGAATTATTAAAACTCGATCCAAACAGTAAAGATGATAGTATAATAAAAGATACGAAGAATCACAATCGAGAAAAATAAAGCAATTGTGTTAAAGAGTTATAGGATAACATATCGTAATTTTTTAAATCATTCATAAAATTTCACGCTTCAATTTTGTATTTGCAAAAGATTGCAGTTTTTAAAAATTCATAAAGACACGTGGGTCGATAGCGCAGTGGTTAGCGCTCCCAGGTCACAATCGCAAGGTCGAGGGTTCAAATCCAACTGGGGGACAAAGCTCTGCTAGGACCACAATTGGAAATGACCTTCGAGAGGAAGATCCATACTTCGGAATACAGTCCGCCGGCATAACCACAGGGTTTGGGGGACGACCAGATAAGGCGCAAAATTGAGTTAAAGGATCAACATAACAAGGACAGTAAAGTGAGGCCGTGACGATAAGGACCTACACCGCGGGACGAGGGACCCGAGATATCACCAAGGTGATAGAACAGGAGGGAACGTACCCGGTCCAAAGTGAATCCCACACACGGTGTGGTCAATTAAAACTAAAATAAATAATTTTAGCTTTAATTAATCACACCGTGTGTGGGATTCACTTTGGATCGGGTACGTTCCCTTCTGTTAGGTGATAGACTTGCCACCACGTGGCACGGAGGGGCTGGGGAACCCACAGGTACGTACGCGGCAACAAAGTGCGTTAACTCACAGGGACCGAATAATGTAGAGGCCAACGGCCATCCGCTGAATGATAACTCTGGCCTTAGAAAGTGAGAGAAATTCTAAGGTCATAGATAAAAGTTTGTCTGATTGGCTAATAAATTCAATTTAATTTTACATTATTTATACAATTTAGAGTACTTTTTTTAAAAAAAGGAAACCAACCACAATAAAGTAAAAAAAAAATCATATAGAAGGTTTCATTAGAGCTGTAGGACTTCATAGCCAGAAATAAGATCTAATTCCTGTCCGTTTAAAAAAGTTAATATATAGTAGTAATAACTTCTCAAAACCAGATAAAAATAACTTATTACTAAGCTAATTTTTTTAAACGAACGAGAATTAGATCTTATTTTTGGAGTCCTACAGCTCTAATGAAACCTTCTATATGTTTTTTTTTTTACTTTATTATGGTTGGCTTCGTTTTTTTAAAAAGTACTCTAAACTGTATAAATAATGTAAAATTAAATTGAATTTATTAGCCAATCAGACGAGGTAAAATCAGTATTAGGCATAAATCATTCAAATCAATTTGCATATCGAATTATGTTGAAATCATCTGACCAAACACTCGTGTTTTAAAAGCTCATTATATCGCTATAATTTTAAATCTTCTGCATACTTGATTTGTCCAAATACGTCAATATGTAAACATCGATCATATTATCCTATCAAATGCAAGGTTTTGCGTACACACCATTCTATACACTCTGTTGTTACTATTTTTCATTTTATTAAGATTTTTTTCTTTATATCCTAAATGTTATTCGACTTATCCACTTAAAGGCAATAGAGAAATGATGTTTATATAGTTTTCTTTATTGGATTGATATGAATACTAGACTATTTTTTACTTTCATTCACGTTGGTTGGTTAATAACTAATGGTCGATCCGATCTTCGAAGCCTCAGCTAATGTGGCTTGCCATTACAGCATTATCCGTAGGTACGTACGTACGGACTTATGTACGTGCATAATACATCAAAATCCAATAATGAAAAAAGGAATCATTTTTATATAAACATAAATAGAAACATACATACATATCAATATGCATCTTATATTAAAGAAACAGAGTACATGCATATTATACTACAGTACACTGCAGTATTTCGACAAAGAACTTTCTGATCGACGCAAAGTTAACAAATACGATTAATGTATTGAAAGTGAGGAAATTATCCTTAATCAGTATAAAACCTGCTTTTACGCCTTGTTAACCCTGTTATATATAAAGAAAGATTCATTTAAATGACTTGTATTTTTTTTTAAACATTATTATAAAAAATGGGGTTCGCTAACTCTAAATTTAAAAATTCTGTAATAAAAAGAAGGTTAACTAAGTTAACAAAAACTAAAAGTATCATTAATAATGATAATAATAAATCTTTCATTCCTCCAGAAGAATATGATTCCGATGATTCCATTGATCGTCTGTCAATTACCGATTTTGATGAACATCTTCATGAGAATGCAGCGTGTAAGATAAGACAAGGACAAGGACGTGAAGAATATGGAACTTGCACAATGTGTAATAGATTTAATTCTAATTATGACTGGTGTCGAGTCTGTGATACTGAAAAATTAATAAATGGATGGACTAGTGGTGATAAAATTATTGATGAATTTATAAAAAGAACTCAAAAGAAAGCAAAATATTATACAGATTCATATCTTGAATGGATCCCTTTTGAAAGTTTAGCTTATATTCAAAAAATTAATCAAGATGATAAAAATCCGACTTTTACTGCAATTTGGCTTGACGGTGAAAGGGAATATAGAAAATTGTTTTATCCATGGATGAAAGGACGTTCACCTCCAATAAATGTAATGCTTAAAGTTTTACCAAACTCTGCTGATGAATTAAAAGATCTTTTAAACGAGGTAAATTTAATCATTATTTTTTTTTAAATGCGTTATTAACTAAATTTTTATTATTTATTGACATTAATTTGTAATTTTTATATTATACAAAGCTTAAATCATACTACAAGAATGCAAAAGCATCCGACCCCATTAATTTCTATGGAATAACGTACATTTCAGACTTAGAAAGCTACATGGTTGTCATAGAATATTTTGAATATGGTGATCTTAGAGATTATTTAAAAACTAATTTTATCGAATTGGAATGGAAGTCGAAACTCTATTTACTTGATTCCATTGCCAGAGGTCTGGCAAAATTACATTATTTTGAAAAATCAATTCATAAAGACTTTCATACCGGTAATATTTTACAGACAAGAAATGTAGATAATGAAGGAAATGAGTTTCTAAGATCAAAAATTTATAGACCTAGAATAATTTCGAAAGATTCAAAAGATGATAATGAAAAAGTATTTGGTGTTTTACCATATATTGCACCAGAAGTTTTTAAAGGTCAAAAACATACTGAAGTTACCGATGTTTATGGTTTCGGAATGATTATGATTGAAATTTCAAGAGGAAATCATCCATTTCATGATCATCCTCACGATTTTGGTCTTGTTAACAAAGTATGTAAAGGCTTTCGACCAGAATGTCCAGAAGGAACTCCTGAATGTTATGTAAAATTGGTAAATGAATGTTTGGATTTAGATCCTGAAAAACGTCCAACCATGGATGTGATTGCACGTGATATTGTATACTGGAAAGATATTTGTAATAGTAATATTGATGAATTAAATGATGAAGATTTAGATATTCGAAAAGCGTTTGAAGCAGCTGATAAATATATTCCTGATATTGCAACAAATGCTTATACAAACGTTCATCCAAAGACTACATGGAAGAGTCAATTTTTAAAATTGCCAAAGTGTCCAGGTAAAATAATAATTATCATTATCAATTAATTTTTACTTGAATTATTTTATAATTACGCGTTTGTACCTTTTAGATTCCCAAGAAAATGAAGATCTAGATAATGTTATGTTATGTATGTTCAAATTATGCATAGAATATAGATCGCTACATCACACGATTGCATGTTCTTATAAAAACCATAATTTCATGCTATATCCTGTGATGATAGCGTAATTCAGTATAAATGTTAAATTCATTAAATTAATAAAATTCTATTTACATTTAGTTGATTGTGAAGAAATTCAAGAAAATCAAGAAAATCACGAAAATCACGATCACGAAAATCAAGAAAACCACGATCACGAAAATCACGAAAATCATGATCACGTAAATCACCAAACTCAAAATGCTATAGAGACAGTAAAGACAGAACAAGATTCAACGTGATTGTAAGCTCAAATTTATAGAAGTTATATACAGTATAATCACGAAATAATGAAGTTTTATGTATTCCAATGTAACTCTGTAATTTATATGCATATTTTTTTATATTTAAACTATAATTAAAAATTACTTTTGTTTCGAAATTTGTATATACCGATACAGTGAATTATTAATTTTAAATTGGTGGTTTTCTTTTTATAAATTCTTTATAACATCCCATTTAGAATTATTGTTTTATTTTTATTAACAAAATAACTCCAATAAATAGTATTAATATTTACAATATCCAATATTTATAAAAGGTTACGGGGATAGCTTAGGCGTGTGATCGCACGGCCGTGGAACCTATAATATGTATACATAATCGTGAAAGCCATAAAGGCAAACATCGAAAATCATGATTAGCGCAGTACGCACTCTACGTCAATTTTTAGTCGTCCATTTTGTAAGTTCTAAAACTTTTTAGTTATGATATATACGTTAATCATGCCTGACGAACTTATTTTTACGATGACGGATGACGAATGATTTCGTCATGGTTTCGTCATGGCAAAACCTTTTATGAATTAATTTGATAATATAACGGATATACAGTCGACTCTCTTCTAACAAAAATGTTAAATCTTTTTAAAAGTACCATTATTTTATTAAAAACTTTCATTAAATTATAACTGATACACTTATTTTCGTGAGTAATACAATTCCTAAAAAGGGGTAACTTAAGGCCAGGCACATCATGAAATGACTATTAATGTTAAAATTAGGGTCAGTTTATGGCCTATATAGTCTAAGATTAAAAGAGTATTATATGTAAAATCATCCCCCAACATTTTTACATAATACGCCAAACTGGGTTTAGACATTCGTTTCTTGTAGTTTTCCCTTTTTTTACTTTTTTTGCTTCGTGGAGCTGATCTGGGTAAACAAAAATTTGCGATTTTGATTGGTCGTGGGCATCGGAAAATCTCGTGACGTACCTAGCATAGCAGGCTTTAGTTCCGATTGGTCAATTATTGAAATGTATAGTTACATATACACAGCATATAACAGCTGACTTTGAGAACGAATTGTTACATATACATTTTAAAACTACACTCTAAAACATATCAAATTAATTCGAGGAAAGGTTAATTAATTCAGAAATTAGCGGCGGGGTGCACTTTTGTCTATAAGTCAAGGTAATTTGGTAATCAGCACCTTAGTTAATAAATTTTAAGTTTTTTTTTTTAAACTTGAGAAATAGCGATTTAAATAATCATACTTACAATTAGTTTTTCTACCTTTTTTTTTGAATATGGTTTATTCGACTAAGTTTTACATTATTAAATGTAGAACATATGTAGGACATGTACGATTACACGCTTTGTTCTGTAGTTATTATGCTGTCCATATCCTTCATGAGCATGTATTAATTTCATTGATATTTGATGATTCTTTTCAATTAATTTATGCTATTCATTTAAACTAGTTAGCGAATTGATTAATAAAGATTATTCATATATATTATATTATTAAGAGATATTACTTGTTTTATTAAATTTAACCAGATACGCATTTGACAACAACTGTCAGAATCAATAAATTAAAAATTATCATAATAAATTATATAAAATTTATAATGTGAGCCCCGAAATTGGTCCTACCGTTATCACGGTTACACGTGATCGATCGTCGTATTAAGGTCCCGTCCCCTACCCGAGTAATTGGTCACATGAAAAATAAAAGAAATTTTACCTTTCTTCTATTTCTTTTACTACTTTGCTACTTCTATTACTTCGGGTAGATCGACGTAAGTATAAGGGTCTTGACAACAATATTGTGTAAATAAGTGATGTAGAGGAAGTTAACCTCGAATGTAAATAGATTCTTTTATTATAAATAAAAGGCTTCTCGCCCAGGGAGAAAAAGTGACGAACATAAGTACCCGACCCATAATAAAAGTGAACCTATTATCCAATCCAAACTAATAAACTATATCGTTCGCCCGTAAAACACTAAGGCCGTTCGAAGTTGATTCTTCGGTTAACGTCACCCCCCTCAGCTGAAGGATCCCCCAAGAAATGAACAACCAATCAAAACGCTGGATAACTCACTAATCTCTTGATTTACATTGACCAATCAAATTGTCTCATATTTGTTCATTCTATATTGATACGGGCTATAAGGTCGGGAACGGCACTATTGGACAAGAAGGAATGCGACAGATTGTCGCTTCGGAAACGTCGACGTCGCGCAACGTTACTCAAGGCAGGTGAGGCTGTTTCGATTTGGCACTGGTCAAAGGCGGCCTTGAGAACGTCACGAAGGATTCGGATGTAATGTAATACGGGTTCAAAGGAGCGTAGGGTTTTTATTTAATTAATTATTTCGTTTTAACAATTAGAACTTTATTAATTATAAACTTTATTTTATTTTAGGGCGGGTTTTAAAGATGATTCGGTTTTTATTACGATACAAGACGGTTCTATGATAATTCTTAAGAGGGCGGGAAGACACACATTACAAGAGGGGGAATTCGAACCATTTTTATGGAGCATTCTCAAGGGAAAAGAGGGGAACTTCGAACACGGCTTTGACACCCTTTTTCTCATTGTCATAGACCGTTTTTTCCTTTTTTTACTACTACTTTTTCCTTTAACCCATTCGTCGTTACTTTAGAATTTTTCAATCATCCCACAACGACACACAACACAACATATGACGACGCATTGACACGGCCACAGACTTTACCTGTCAAGGTAATATTACCTTGACAGATATCTTCTAAATCGGGCAGGTGGCTTGTCTTTAATGGGATCGGCGCCGTCACCAAGGGACCTTGACTTATCTTGGGTCACGGCATCGTGGTACGACGGCTTTTCATGGTGCATTGCGTGGGCCGTTGCACGTTTATTCACCATGGTCCTAGGGTCAGATTTACCCATAACAATATGTTTGTTTAATTTTATCCCAAGAGTTCTAAAAGTGACGTTAGCCGAAAATTCAATTGCAAGCGGCCTAAACCGCAAATTGATCGCTCGCCATAAGTCGCGTGACCAGAAGACCGTTACGATTCGACGTATTGTAATCCTGGTTGAGGCATACAAGAGAAGACAAGAATTAGCTTAAGAATAGGTTGAAGGAAAGACTTAAAGAGGAAACTAGTACTTACCTACGGGAAAACCAACCAGTCAAATATAACACGCCTATTTCGACAAAGCCGCCGTAGGTTACGCGAGAATTGAAAAAGATTAGCGACAGACTCGCCGGCATACCGAACGACAATAGTTTAAAAGTGTTTTTTTAAATAAATTATTAGCATTTTTTTACTTCTAATTCGTTGTCTATTAGCCAATCAGATTTTGTAAAGTCACAAAATGATCTACGAAAATTGGCCAATCGGAATGATTTAAGCGGTTTTATTTGTGCCGGTAATACAAACTCCTAAAAAGAAAATAGCCTATCAGTGAGTTCGAATTTTGATCGTTCCAGCATGAATTCAGAACATGTGCAGAAGAAGAAAAGGCGATAATATTCAAAAACCAATGTTTAAATCGGCCTTGGCGCACTAATTAAAAACGGCAGGAATGAATTTTACATATAATGGAAATACTATTTTTACAGCCTTCAAAAATTCCAAAATCGTATGGGCCCCCGATTCTGAACCCTACCTACAATAATACCATATACACTATATGCTTCTTGGCGTAATCTGTAATGCAGCTCATAATCAAGTGGTACATCAAATGTTTCCTAAATTATCGAATTCAATAAGGTGTAATTGTGGTTTTAAAAAATTGTACCCTCGAAAATGACGCAACTTTATAAAGCATTTAGGTTATTTAAATAGTAAATTTAGGTTTCCATTTTTCTCTACATTTTAAAAAGCAAAAATGAATCATAATAATTCTGTTTATCATGAAAAATCAACTGGTTTAGATCCTTATACCCTTGGATACAATTATCAACATGGGATAGGGGTAGAAAAGGACGAACATACGGCATTCATTTATTATCAAAAATCAGCAGAAATGGGGAACGCTAGAGGTGCATACAATGTTGGATATTGTTATGATGAAGGAATTGGAGTTGAAAAGGATGAACGTAAAGCATTCATTTATTATCAAAAATCTGCAGAGATGGGGGATGCTAGTGGAATATTTGCACTTGGTAACTGTTATAAAGATGGAATCGGAGTTGAAAAAGATGAATATAAAGCGTTTATTTCTTATCAAAAATCTGCAGATATGGGGAACGCTGATGGAACACATAAAGTTGGATATTGTTACGAGAAAGGAATTGGAGTTAAAAAGAGTAAACATAAGGCATTCATTTATTATCAAAAATCTGCAGAGATGGGGAACGCTGGTGGAACACATAAAGTTGGATATTGTTATGAGAAAGGAATTGGAGTTGAAAAAGATGAACATAATGCATTCATTTATTATCAAAAATCTGCTGAGATGGGGAACGCTGGTGGAACACATAAAGTTGGATATTGTTACGAGAAAGGAATTGGAGTTAAAAAGAGTAAACATAAGGCATTCAATTATTATCAAAAATCTGCAGAGATGGGTGATGTTCGTGGAATATTTGCACTTGGTAGCTGTTATGATCAAGGAGTTGGAGTTGAAAAGGATAAACATAAGGCATTCAGTTATTATCAAAAATCAGCAGAGATGGGGAA